ACCTGAGTTTCAAGAAAAGCAAGTACCAAAAAAATCCAAAAGACATAAAGCTAATGAGAAGAATGAGATACCATCAAGTCCAAAAACTTCTTCCAGTGATTCATATATCAATATTAATATAAACAAAAACTCAGTAGTAGTAGATGAAAAAACTGAAGAGGTGGAAAATATTGATGAACAAGTTGGGATTGATGATCTTGCAAAACTTGAAGAGCAATTAAAGAAGCAACCTTATACTGAGGTGAGTAAAGAGTTAACTTTGATTGCTTTATCTGGCACAATACTGATGTTATTCATGTGCTTCAGTGGGTTGTGGGAAATGTTAATATAACACAAAAATTTCGTCAATATCAATGGAGTGCAATTGATAAAGCAAAGAAAGGATTGTTGAAGTGGGACAATACTTATGAGATATTGTAGGTATTTTACAACCAAAATTCTATAGCTAAGGGGAAAATTATATTCTCAGGTTTAATATTTTTTACAATTTTATTACAGGGCACTAGCATCAATTATTGTTATCTCATTTCCATGTCCATACCCTTATGAATATTTTACACTTGAAGAATGGGATTATATAACAAAAACTAATCCATATAGTAATAGTATTGGGACAAATACTATTCCATCATCCATTTCAGCAAGCCTATATGAAGCAGCAGAGAAATGTGTTTTTGGACAAAGTATTTATATGAATGCAGAAGAATCATTTTTGAGTAGATGTGCTGGGAGAATTTTTAATGATTTGTAAGTTGAATTTGCTTTACACTAATGTTATTTTGGAAAAAAATTAAAACAGACTCTTTTAACACTTAGGAATAATGTTCCAGTAGAAGCACCCACTAAAATATCTGAAGAACTCCATTGTTGTAACTATTTACACCCGTTTATAAAGCCACTCTTTATGATACCAAAGGTGTATGAAGTAAGGCTTAATATTAATAGCTCAACAGCTGGCTCAAGAAAACGGCCAGACTTTTCATGTGTTGTTGATGACATACCTTTGCTGAACTCTGAAGTAAAACCACTAGGGTTCACACCTTTACAAAGGAAAAAAGATTTTGTAAAGGTGAATTTAAAAGCAAAGAAGTCTATAAACCAACAACTAAGTCTAAAGGGTGGACCTAATAAGTCTGTACTCTTTATTAATATGGGTATGTTATATTAATATTATGTGATGAATGGTAATAACATAGAAGGATGGTGACTTTAAACTCGTTTTATGATTTAGGTGATATTATTGAATCATTTCTTATGGAGCTTAATTATGATGGAATTTACTGTTCATGGCCTTACTGTAAAAGTAAACTGATAATTGATAAAGCTTCAATGCCACTCATAGTATCTACATTCTGTCATTTTGTGGAATTGGAGGTATACATTTTTTTATTCAATTTACATTTTTTTGATATGATGATCATAACAAATTTTTTATTCGCAGAAGCAAACAAACAAGTTGGCAAAGGATTTCAAAAGTCGAAGAATTCCATTTACCCCACCAAATCAAGTTATGTTTGGATTCATACGTGATGATCCAAGCTCCCCACAAATCCGTCATTTGCTTAAATAATTGGACTGTTAGTCCATATTCTATTTTCTGCAAAGGGAGATTTCTAGAATATAAAAGACCAGTTGGTGTTTTATTTGAGCTGCTTACAATAAATAAAAATTATAATGTTAATTTTGTCAAGTCAACAATCACAGGAGGGTAATCAATCGTTAACTCTTGGAATTTAACTATTTTTCAGGCCGGAACTTGGCTTCGACTTTAGGCTTTAGTTCTCATGACTGTTCGCTGTCGTAGTGCCACACTAGGGAGAGCGATCGTGTAACACTCTTGAGATTTAGCGTTTCAAACGGAGTTTCGGCTCACTCCTACTGGTCTGTAATCTCAGGCGAGTTGGTGACCTTAAAAGGCTTTACGTATTGTTCGTC